CGAGAAAATCCGGAACTGAATGTATATGAGCAGAGAATTTTGAGATTTCCGTGTGTAGAAGAATTTATTATTTTATATAGATTCAGATATCATCATAAAGAAATATCATGAACAAGGCCGCCACCCGGGGGTTGACGAAACGATCAGTCAAGTTTGTCGCCACTTTTATTGGTCGAACATGCGAAAGCAAGCGATAGCGTATGTAACTACCTGTTTGACGTGAGCCGCGACAAAAGCCGCGAATCCCCAAATTCCTGCAAGACTTATACCCATTGAATCCGAGAGAACTTGGCAAATCGTTTCCGTGCATGTTCTAGAGCCGTACCCTGCAGATGAAGATGAAAATAGGTACCTGGTGATAATATCTGACACGATATGGATACGTCAACAACAAAAATTATCTCGTAGATTTTGAATCAACTCTGTAGTTTTCAAGAGAAATATCCTCCTGCGGATATTATTATGAGTTTGATTCAGAGATGAGAATTTTTAATCGCTGAAAACCTAAGAAACGTCTACAAAACGTCACAGCACTAAGTCACTCTGAATATCCGCTTATATTTTTGTGGAATTTTCAATGCGATTTTCACGACAGAAATTTTTTTGATGCAAGTTTCAATCGCGCGTCGAAAGATCATAAATGACAAATGACAGGAGGCCAATTCGTCATCTACTGATGATGCAAATTTGGATAGCAAAACACCAAATGATAGTATGCTAGAGGAAGGTATCGCACGTTGAAACGCTGAATTCTTGTTATCTTTCTTCATCAAACGACACCCTATATAGATTTTTCTGTTCATTTTCATACACATCCCATCTTCTTGGGACCATCTCCTTCTCTTTCTCCTGATGGTGCTAATTTGGTTAACGAAGAAACAGCTCAATGTCCTTCCAACATGCTGGTTCGCACGTTAAAATGTTAGACCCTTCTAGTCATCGTCGTCGTTATCTCATTACCATACAATTTTTTATCGAGCCGTATTCCTAACTCTTCATGCTTAATTTTTATAACCGGCAACGCTTCATACGTCCCATAGCCCCATAAACAACGATTCATTTCACAACCGACATACATGTTATTCAATACGAAAAATCTACTGTGATAGCGAAACATGTCGCGATCTTTCTGAAAATGAAGTTTGTGAAGATCAAATCGTTAGGTGTAGTTTGTGAAATTACTATGGATCTCCATCAAGTAACGGCCAAGTCAATCAGAAAAAAATCTCATACATCGAATTTGATGAACGTTTAGAGCAAAGCAAAATTGTCTTATTTCAGAATTATTTGCTAGAATAAGCAGAGCATTCAGATACATAAATTTATATTTTTTTAAAGATGAAATGTATTATGAATTTGATGATATTTCGAATATACTAGTTGAATCAGATAAATTTGACTCGCCAGTTTCGAATGGTCTGATCGATCAAATAATAAAACTAAATAATCGTTTGTGATAATTGCACGACATACCACAGTAAATCGATAAATTGTAATTCTTCTTTCTTTAAGTCATCCTCCTTCAGAATATAAGCTTCCTCAGGGTCGAAAAATGGGTGTGCGTGTTGATTCAATTACTTCCTCAAATTTTCATAAATATTATAATATTTGTCCTGATTGATTTTCCACTTTCTGACTAGCTCGAAATTCTCATTGACTAACACTTCAAATTTATTTCCGTGAGTTTCCTCAACTTTAAAAAGGAATTCATCCCTGATGAAATGTATGAAACTTCTCATAGTAGAAAGTTTTTGTAGTAATCACATGTACTTAATATAACACATGAACTTACCAGACGATACTCCAGTTTTTTCATTCCTAATTTAAATTTAAGTTCTTGTATTTCCAACTTTTGATCTCTGGTACTCATCACTTGAACTTATCGACGACGGTATGTTAGAGAAATTCTGAAAACCAATGTTTTTTGTGGTTACTTATAAATCAATAATTTACCATTGAAGATCGAAATTCTAACACACTCAGTCAAGTCAGCTGATTACCGAAGTTGCACCCACTGAACAACGATATGCACGACCACGAATGACAAGTATTACAAGAAAGTGATAATTTGAAAGAAATTATCTTTATGAATAACACATAATTCATTTCATTTATTTATTTATTTACAGTCGCATCGACCTCTAGGGTCATTAACGACTTGTCGATATATTACATGGAAAAAAAAATTTAGAGAGTATGTAACAAATTGGTATTTCTAAGGAAAGGTAATAGATTATTAATATCACATTCATCTCCTAATATGTCCTTTATTGATGGTGGGAAGCCATAAGTTTGTCTTTCATTGTGATATAGCACGCACTCGGTGAGAATATGTTTAACACTTTGAGGACTATCACACACTTCACATATTGGGGGATTTTCTTCAGATAGTAGGTACCCATGGGTGAGACGAGTGTGGCCTAAATATTTTTCATTAGAGCCTTGGTGCGGCCCTGTTGATCAGTCGTGTTCTCGCTGATAAGAACCAATATGAGGCCTTGAGAATGGTAGCAGTTTGATTTTATAGATGTTCGTAGAAGAAATTATCTAATAAATTGTTAGACTTACTGGTTACAGAAAGGCGACCAAAACTATAATAACTATGAGAACAGTTGGAATTTTTTTGGTTTGATTTCCACTATCAAATTACAGAAATTTCGTCGGTTGCTGATAAGTACACTTACAGGTCACTTTGTCAGGCCCGGACTCATAACACATAATTGACTAATACAACCCCATTCTTTATCTATAGTTCTGAGGAAAGCATCTATATAGATATTACAAAATTATTTCAAAAACACAAATCAAAAATCTTCAATAAAATATTCATTATCAAATTCATAAGCTTTAGTTGAAACATTTATGAGACAAGAGCTGATTTTTCTCTGGGATAACCAATTGAAGCCATAATTGGTTACATCGACAGAACAGGTTTATGAATTTTGGGTGAAGCATAAAATTTTGAAAGCGTTCCATTATAATTGGGGATGCCCTTTTCAGTCGATTCATCTATCTGGTTAAAATCAAACAAAATTTTTGAATATTTCATAGCAATTCATCTGTACTTGTTCAGAAGGGTATGGAACTAGGAGTAAGCTTGCCAATTTTCAAATATATCGATAGAAAGATTTATATATTGGGCTCGATCCAGAGTGTCAGTGACATTACCTTAGTCACATTCAGTTATTATTGAATTACACACTGTTCTATGTCGACAGAAAACTCGAAAAGGAGTAATGACCGTCTCATTAATTTCGATTTCGTATCAGACTGCTCATTTAACCAAGTGAGAGCACGACTGTCTGTGACAAGGGTAAAGTGACTATCTTCTTAATATAGGTGCATTATTGATATGAGTATCGATGTCGCGTTGAAGACTAGCGCAACTCATTTTTTCCACAAACCGAGAAGCCTTTTAAAAAATTAATTTTTATTCAATAAATTGAAATTATAGAAACGATGTTTAACAGTACACGTATAAAATCAGACTTACTGCATAAGGTCGTCCCCGAGGCAATACTGTAGTTTGTACAGAGTTAAGGAAGTTTTAATCAACGCCAAGAGTTGTTTTTAATTATTTAATATATNGAACTGGGCCCATAACCTGTAGTTTGTACAGAGTTAAGGAAGTTGAACAACGGTTCAACTACAACTTCTTCTTCTTCTTAAAAATAAACATCAAAACATAAAACTATTTTATATTTATGACAAACAGTGTTGCCAATCCTAATACCAACTTAAAATAGATTTTTCGTTGCTTTTCTTTATTAATTAGGTTATACAACAGTATAATATAATTGTTATTTTCAGGAATTTAAAATCTTCCTATATCAGATAGTCCATGAAACGTTGTCAACTACTTTCAAAAAATCTCGCATTTATCATTTATGTGCTTGAATAAGTTTTAGAAAAACATTTTCGAGATTGTGACTGAAACCAGACGTTGCTAGACGTTGCTATCTAAGACCACGTTCAAATGGCACCTTGAAGGATGATTTGTGACGAACCAATGTTACTAAAACTTACGTAAAGTAACGTATGAACACCATTTCCGTCAATAGTTATCAAACCGACTAACACTCTGAGCCTTTTGAGAAAAAGATTGGTGTTATGAAACTGGATTTATTAATGAAAAAATAAATATTTCGAAATATTCATCTCCTCCAACGTATTTGGACGAGATGATATCGGCCGAGAAAGTAGTTGTTTTCCGGCAGGCATTTACCTACGTACCTACTGTATCTTTCCCAACATACCTACTGTGTATGTACGTTGGGAAAGATGGATGTTTCCAAATTTCACTTCGGTGTATTAATTCAGTAACACGAACATTTTCTTATGTGTCAAAATTTAAATTTTTCTTCAGAATGATGGTTTATTGAACGGTTCAAAAGATAATTGCTGAATGAGGTCAGACAAAAAATAATAAGGTTGATCAAATATTGTCTCACCCAGAGAAACTTTCAGAGAGAATTCAAATGTAAATTGATGGATGTAGCCGTTACTACGTGGTAGGAAATCATAATGAAGAAAAGAGAATTGAAACTTCCTTTTTTTTACCACTTTTATTTGTAATTAATGTTACTGCAGTTTCGTCCTACAAGGATATTTTCAAATTTATACATTAGTTTAATGTATAACTTTGAAATGTCCTTATAGGCCGAAACTGCAATAACGTTAGTTACAAATAAAAGTGGTAAAAGACATAGAAAGTTTCAATTCTCTTTTCTTCATAATTCAAATATACTTGAAACACGTTTGTGAACATCGAATTGTGAGGTTACAATCTTTTTAAAAATATTTGGTTGCATCTAAATTTTGGAAAAATTGATTACTGAATTTACTTCATTTTATTTTTTCCTTCACTAATAGGAACGATGAAAAAATACGGTTTTAGAAGGTATTCTGGTCATCACAATAGGTATTTCCTTGAAGTTGTCAATTTAATGAAAGCAATGAGCTTGAATGTTTGACAGGTCACATGCTAAATTAATGGACAGTTAATCAAATAAGGGCCTGTTTCACCAGTGACTGATAAACTTCCTGATAGTTTAATCACAACTTATCTGGTTCTGGTTCTGATAGTCATATCTGGTTCATAAGGTGGTTAGTAACCTAACATTCAGTTTTGGCGCGTGATAAATACTATCTGACAGATTTTAACGATGGATTTATTCGAATTTATAGAAGATGAGTTTGATGAATATCTATTAAATCCTGTTATGCGCCCTCGCAGACGTCCTGTAATTAGAAATCGGCCAAATTATTTCACTGAACTTGATGAAACAGATTTCAGAGCTCGATTTCGACTTTCTAAACCATCTGTTACTTATGTATTATCTTTGATAGAAGGAAACATAACTACAGTGACCAACTTGTAAGTACTTTTTGTCCTATTCAAAATACGTTATTTATAGATTTTCATCAAGAATCGGCCAATTCCATCATATACGTATGTATGTATATCTGTTCATTGAAAAACTCAATTTTTCTTTCAGTAATTTCGCTATATCACCTATGAATCGATTGTTGTTAACGCTGCGCTACTATGCTACAGGATCATTTTTAATAACATCTGGAGATTTTAGTGGTGTAAGCAAAGCTTCAGCTTCTAGAATAATTTCAAAAGTATCCAGAGCAATAGCAGAACTGAGACCAAGATTTGTAAAATTTCCAATAAACCTGCAATCCGTGAAAGAGGGATTTTATAACATAGCAAGGTTTCCGAGAGTGATAGGAACTATAGACTGCACCCATGTCAATATTAAATCACCAGGTATGAGAAATAAAGTTATATTTTAATCAAACAATAGTTTTACACTATTTTTGTAGGTGGAGAAATTGCTGAATACTATAGAAACAGAAAAGGCAATTTTTCTATAAATGTACAAACCGTAGTCGAC